CATAAATATTCTCTACCACCACTGCTCAAGAATCCAGTCCTCTGAGGGAGAGCTTTCATCAGATCAAAAACACAAAGCCGACCAGGCTCTTCCAGGTCTGTACCAATGGTTTCCGAAGAGGACCAGAGATGGAAGCCTTGCAGGGTGGCAATGTCCAAAAAAAGACATCAGGTACACCATCTACCTATAGAGTCCCTATGGCAGTGAACACACTTTTCTTTCGTTGGGGGCTGCTATTGTGGACGTTTTATCTGTTTTCCTGCTTCAGCACACCTGATTCAAATGATCAGGATAATTGTTCACCTTCTGTAGAGCTAGTTGATGGACTGATTATTTGCATTAGATGTGTTGGAGCAAGGAGACCTCAAGGACCGAAAGATTTTGAATAATATCCACTATCGCAGGGGTCCCCAACCATTTTTGCCCCACGGACCGGTTTATGTCAGACAATATTTTCAGGGACCGGCATTTAAGGTGTGGTGGAAATAATACAACAAAATAATGTGGTTTGAGCTGCATGAAAATTGTGGTGTTTTCGAAATATAATAATAAACACAAGGAGCTAATCTGGCCGCAACACTCTGATCGCTATGGTAATGTTTAATGCCTTCAAAATATGATACAATGCAAATTCAAAGTGCATGAAAATGATGACTCACCACAGCCCCGAGCTTGATTTTCTGCAACCAGACGGTCCCATCCCGGGGTAATAGGAGACAATGACACCTCAAGTGTGTGTTTTATGTCCAGTCTACTTTGTAATTTTGTTTTAGTCGCCGTTGCTGCAGAAAAGCCCCGCCTCACACAGGTAGCATGTCGGAAATAGCAACAGTGCTACTGTGGTGATCTCAGAATATTCAGACATAACTTTAATCCAGTTGTCTCGAACGTACTTTTAAGGCCGCCGTCATTTGCGATCTCCAGCAGTTTTTTTACTCATTTTGCGAGCTCTGGCGTTTTGTTTTCAGCGTAATCGGTCATGTGACGGAGAAGCGTGGCTTGACGTGTGTCAAGCGTGACACAGACGGATGTAACGGAGAATCCGGTAATTTTTCAAAATAAAACATCTTTCGTATTCCGAAATAAATAAAACGGAATTAAGGAAAGTTCTTTCTGTGCGGCCCGGTACCAAATGCCCTGTGGACCGGTAACGGTCTGCGGACCGGCGGTTGGGGATCCCTGCACTATCGGATCACTGTTGTATGTATGTCTATTCGGTGTCTATTATTTAGCAATGGAGGATTCGTAATCACCAATTTTCCATAATCACCCAGCACTAACTTGGAGGCAAGTATGTGAGGGGAGCACTATGGGGCAGGGGGTACCTGTGTGGGTTCTGTGATGGACATCAGGTGCATAAAGCTCAGCAAGTCCCTCACCAAGGAGTCTATCGACAGGTGAGTCCCTGCCAGGCTCGTAGTCACTGTCGCCCGCATCACTGTCCCCACGACCGCTGTCTTTGAGGCTGAATTTATCCATCTCGTTCAGGGCATATCTGAGTGGGAGAAGAAAACATTTGTTGCAGCTATTATGAAATAATGGCTAATTGTATATATTGTCTCATAACGATAGGAATGCCTTGAAAAGTTTTGTTGATAATTGCAATGTAAAGCGTTGAATTGAAAACCAAACCAAATAATTGATCAAACCAGAGGACCCACTGGTATTCCACATTCACTGGATTATGACAGTTGTGTTGTCGGGGTGGATCAATTTTTAAAAACCGTCAAAACAAAATACATGTAACTTGAAACCTAATGTTTATTTTTTTCGGTGCCACGACGAGCCTTTTGCATATACAGTGAAACTCCTCTACAACGAAATCATGTTTGCAGCAAGAAATTTTTCACAACAGGGGTTTTTTCACTGTAGCAAATTGATCTCAGATGTAAACACACACACACACACACACACACACACACACACACCAACGTATGTGTACACGCACACACAAACGTATGTGTACTCTATTTTATTCCAATAATGCATAAGTATGAGCACACACTTATTTGACACTTCATATAATCAGTGTAGGAAAAAAAAAAGGGAAAGAAATTGCGAAATTTACGATCAGCATTCACTTTCACTTATATCAATTTCTTGGATAATGTCTTTTATTTTGCGTCCTCCGTCTTTCATTTTGATCACTTTTCCCTTCTCTTCCAGCGTCAAAGCGCTTTTTGTCTTAGCTTCTTGACATCCAAAGGTCCGTTTTGTAGCCATTTTAGCAATGCAACGTTCATGCTGCGTCTGAATCTAACAATAACAAATACTTCCTGGACCCGGTGGCTTTTCTTTCCACCATCTCACTGTCTCTAACTCGACCTCCCCTCGATCAACAACCAAGACAGCGTTGCTCAGCTGATGTCTTGCAATGAACTTTTAAGCCAGCCACGGGACGCTTCGTAGTCCTCGATGGCCATAGTTAGCGCGATGGAACTCGCCTTCTCTCTCATTAGTGCTCCAGTTAGCGTAAGGTTTGTAGCATGATAACAAGTAAAGCATTCCAGGAAACATTCGTTTATTTGACTGTCCGTCGAGCCACAAGCAATTTACTCTGAGCAGCTAATCGGATGCATTCCACTCTATCTCCCACGGATCTAGCTACAGTATCTACACACAGACAGTGAGGTCCCTCTTGGCCAATCGGAGGCCAGGATGATGCTCGGTAAGCCAATGGCAGAGCAGCTATGAGTATGTTGCGTTCAGGAAACTCTGAGCTGTGACCGAAATAAACATCGTTCACTCTGTAATCAGTGTGGTGGTTGCTGTTGCCGTTTCCGAACGAAGCAGTAGAGGTCGCTGTTGGATTAGACTTTGTTGTAGTGAATGTCTTCGGGCGGCTGGAGCAGAGAAAATGATTTAGTTTAACGCAACGGGGGGTTTTTCGTCGTATGGGGGGCAGGAGAATGGGAATGGTGTTCATGCATGAAGATTTTTTCACATTAGGGGGTATTTTCGCCCATGTAGGTTTTGTTCTAGAGGCGTTTCACTGTACCCATCTATCCATCCATTTTCTGAACCGCTTTATTCTCACAAGGGTTGCACGGTGTGCTGGAGCCTATCCCAGATGTCTTCAGGCAGTAGGCGGGTGACACTCTGAACCGGTTGCCAGCCAATCGCAGGGCACACAGAGATGAACAGCCATCCGCACTCACACTCACACCCAGGGACAATTGAGAGTGTTCAATCAGCCTGCCGTTCATGTTTTTGGAATGTGGGAGGAAACTGGAGTCCCAGGAGAAAACCTACGCAGGCACAGGGAAAACATGTAACATGTAATGCGGTAACCACCCGATCACTGGGCTGCCCCATTTTTCATATTGTCAAAAATGCAGCGGGGCCCCGCACCATGATGTTATGCCTCTGGTAATAATATATATAATAATAACTCCTCTTTCCCTGTTGGATATTAATTGTGACAGTCTATGTGCATCATACTGGATGCTATGAATAACTTGATCTTTGATTAAGGAGGGTAATGAAGAGATTCGTCTTTTCCAACCGATGGAGTCAAGGCACCTATTTTACGTAACAAAAAAGCTCACAGTAAACCAGCAAACAAAAATCATCTGAAAAAAAATATGCAAACTGAAATGATGATTTTTCTCTGTTAAGTCACAAATGTACTTACTCAATGTGACATCTTGTGTAGTTGAACACAAAGCGGATATATTTGCAGGGAGCTATGACCTATTCTGTTGGAGTCTATGAATGGCAAAAGGTGGATACACAGGTTGGTGGTACTTTTTGCCAACCTACGTTTTTGTCATGTTATTTGATGAATACAGATTGTGAATTGCTCCAAATGGTATTGAAGTGTCGCGGTTTGAACTCGTTTGATGGAAGGGTGAACTATGTCAATTTGTTTATTTGATGCCAAATAATCAAAATGCCTCTATCTCCTTTTTTTTTTTTTTTTTGCATTGTTGTAGTGTGTTTTTTCAATTTTATTGATATGTACTTTTTTAATTGTGCCATGATTGTGAGTGGTGGTATTAAGAGGCGGATTAGGTCATTTCATTCCCCGCTGAAGCCCGAGGTCCAAAATCCACTGCCCCCGCATGAATATATATTTACAGTTTATGATTTATTTATGAGCTATCCTAACTGGACTTGGTAGACTGCACCTTGGACTGGTCGCCGGCCATTCACAGGGCACATGCAAAGACACTCAAATTTATACCATCACTGGCGATAAATTTGGAAAAAAAACCCACTATAATTTGGATTTTCGTACAAATACGCATGTATAATTAATTTTTGAAAAATTTCTTTTAGTCAAAGCAAAATTAACAAACAACATTACTTCCATCATAAAATTAACCCCAAACTTCCATTCTAAGTAGGTATTACCTGTAACTCCGTGTGTGTTTGTTGCCTCTGAAACTTGGACGTGGCTGGTACTGGCCCTGATGGAGCATGGACAGAAGCTGTGAGACTTGCTACAATCCCCAGGGAACAAAAAAGGGCAGACAAAACAGAAAAGAAAAGAAAAAAAAGGGGAAACATGAAGAAGGACAAATGAATGGAGTCAAACAAGCAAGACCACAAGACAATGTTAAATGAAGGTGTGGGACATAGGGGAGGGGGCATGACTTACTGAATGGTGGAGGTACTAGAATGTGGGAGGCAAAAAATACATTCTTAACATGCGCTAGAGATGTAAAATGAGATTTCAAATGTGATTTGTGGACTGAATATGCCACAGTGTCTCTTTTGATATCTAAATGACAAATGGTGGCCATAAAGTTGCATATTAGCAGTACTTAACCTAACACAACAACAACAACAACAACAACAACAACAAAAAACGTGCCGCCGAATCTACATCCAAAAACACTCTCATGTCTTACCTCAACAGGGGGTGCAGTGTGAGGCAACTCCAGGGCGAAGTTCTCAGGCACATGATTGGAGGAAATGGTGACAAGACTGTTCAATGACTGGCGGCTGTGATGGCTCTGCCTGCTCCCTGGCGTGCCCTTCTCGGCCAGAGGGGAGGCTGACGGGGAGCGCGGGTGAGACTGGACAGGAAGAATTCCATTGACAGTTGGGACCAGAGTAATATCTGCTTTGTGTATGTGCCTTGTTGGCTTCTTGGGATGTTTCTGATAGCTGTTTTCTGCCATGCGACAATTGTAGTTGTGCTTTGGGTCTTTTTTTTCCTGGGCGCAACGAGTTGTGGCAAACATCACCATTACAACAAGCAACAGAGTGCAAACTGCTCCGAGAGATATGATGATGATGAGAGAGAGATCATGAGAGGAGTGGCTGTAGTCAGTGGGATCAAGAGTGGGGAGGATGTCCATATTCTCCTGCAGAGTAAGCTTGAGGAGGGCCCCTGCGGTGAGTCGATTGGTACCTCGATCCTGGACTTCTACTCTGATCTCCATCACATCCCTCGCCGCTTGTTCTAAGCTTGCATTGGTCCTCAGCTCACATCGCCGAGCATCCATCACAAAGAGACTATCGTCATTTCCGCCAATAATGGAGCAACGCACCTCCCCATTAGCACCAGCATCGCGGTCTGTGACTTGAAGCGCTGTGATTAACTGACCAGGAGATGCATACTTCCACACTGGAAGTTCAGCAGTGTGATTCTGGAGGGAGGGGGAGTGGATGATCGGGGGATTGTCATTTTCATCCAAAACTGTAACCAGGAGAGTGGTGTTGGCTGACAGGGAAGGATTTCCCCCATCACGTGCCTGGATTGTGAAAGTGACATGACTGACATCTTCGTGGTCAAAGGTCCTCAAGGCATAAATGGCACCATTTGAGGGATCAATAGTGACATACGTCGAGATGGAGCTCCCCTGCACCGGAGCATCAATTATGGCATATGTCACCTGGCCATTGGTGCCCAGATCTGGATCCGAGGCCACTACAGTGGTCAGGTATGCTCCTGGAGAGTTGTTCTCGGATTTGAACACCTCATAGTGGTTCTTCTCAAAACGAGGAGGATTGTCGTTTTCATCAAGTACCTGCACAGTAAAGTGTTTGATAGTGGAGAGACTTGGGGAGCCCTGGTCCTCCGCTATGACTGTCAGGCTATACTCGGACCTCTTTTCTCGGTCTAGTGAAATATTGGTGAGGATCATATAGTTCTTTTCATATGTTTTCTGGAGTCTGAAGTGACCGTGGCCATGAAGCCTGCAGACCACTTCGCCATTGAGCCCCGTGTCACTGTCATCAATGCGCACCAACGCAATGAAGGTATCGACTGGTGCACCCTCTGAGATGTAGGCCACCTCCTCTTTGCCTGGTGTCATCAGGTTAATGTTTATCTCTGGTTTGTTGTCGTTGACATCCACGACTTTGACAACAATTTTACAAAGCCCAGGAATGGAGTTTGGGCCCAAATCCTGAGCCTGAACATCAAGCTCGTAGGAGGGAGACAATTCATAGTCCACCATTTTAATCATTGTAATGTGTCCGTTTTCTGGATTGATCTTAAACCTCTCCAATATTTTTGAGGGGACATGACTGCTGAAAGCATACACTATTTTTCCATTAGTACCCTCATCGGGATCTGTAGCATTTAAATCAATGACAAGAGTACCAAGAGGAGAGTTTTCCATCAAATTAATAACATATGCCTGCTCTTCAAATGCTGGACTGTTGTCATTTGAATCGGCGATGCTAATTTTCAGCAATGTGGAGCCAGATTTGGGGGGCACCCCATTATCTGAAGCAATGAGTTGCAACTGGTAGTTAGACTGCACCTCCCTATCCAGCTCTCGTATCACCACCAGCTCCGTGTACTTTGCCCCATCTGTCCTGGTCCTGATGTCAATCTTAAAAAAGTTGTTGGGACTGAGGGCGTAGGTGTGCAAAGAATTCTCTCCAACGTCCGCATCCACAGCACCATCCAGCGGTATCCGTGTCCCAATTGACGCGCTTTCAGAGATCTCAATGGGGACGATGGCGTGTGAGAAGTGTGGGGAATTGTCATTTATGTCCAACACCTCCACCGCCACATGGAATAATTGCAGGTACTCTGTCGGCAGGGTAACGACGTCGAATTCAATGGAACAGTTAACATTTTTCTCACAAAGCTTCTCACGGTCAATTTTGGAGCCGATGCTGATCTCCCCATCCTCCTCTCGCACAGACAACAACGGCATGCTACTCCGCTGCATGGCACGGAAACGAAGAGATACGGAGCTTGGCAATTTGGATAAAACTTCAGTGACGTCATCCTTTAAGCGCGCGATGACAATCCCCGCGCGTTGTTCCTCATGAACTTGGTATTTCAAAGTCGTGCAGCAGATCGAGTTGAAAACCGCCATCAAAAGAAATAGTTGGAGTTGTGCAGAATGGAGCAGATTGCCTTTGGCACCCATCTTGCTGCGGCAGTCCCTTCCACAGAGGCGGAGGAACAACGAAGAAAATCAATCCAGTCGTAATTTAAATTTGTAACATGCTTAAAATTCTTGTCTGTCGATCGCCATCTGCTAAAAGTCCACCGGGTTTCAAAAAAAAAAAACTTTAAACATGTGAGAAGATCGACTCTTTGTAAAGAGCTCTTGCATATATCCTCATGTACTCGTCTCCAGTGGCTTGAGTGGGAATGATATGGACAAAAAGAGACACACAGGAGAGAGAGGGATTCGGCGCGTGTGCGTGAGCGAGCACACGAGCAAGCCTCGCTCCTCGCTCAATTTTCAATACCCACCCAGAACCCAAGCTGCCTCCTCTCTCTCTCTCTCTCTCTCTCTCTCTCTCTCTCTCTCTCTCTCTCTCTCTCTCTTTCTCCCCTCAAAAAATTCGTACAACAAAGAGAGTGCACGATCCTCCTCCTCTCTCTCTCACACACACACACACACACACACACACACACACACACACACACACACACACACACACACACACAACCACACAACCACACGCACGCACAGACACAACCGAGCATTTAAAAAGTGTGCCACAACAATGAACTTGAGAAAGAATTATTCCGGGCTCAGCCACGTCTCAGACAAACACACACTGACCCGCACACTTTAACATTGTTGTTTGGTTATTCACAATGTGTGACAACCTCGCTCCCCCTTTCTTTGAGGGTAGCTAGCTCCAAATAAAGCCTGCTCTATTATATGCCCTTCGAAGAACAAGGGCGCTTAAAGCACGCTGCTGCATTAAATCAAAGCCGTTTTATAACCGTGCATATCCAGATGACGGTGTCACTAATGGTGTCTTGCAGAGGGTTAAAACAGAAGAATTAACCAAGAGTTTGGTAAAACTTGAACCCACTTAAGCAATTACCAAAACACTTCCACATTTTTGGTTGCTGTTTCACACAGATGTGCAAATGTAGTCACGCTTCACCAATTTGTTCAAGGTTTATTTTTACTGAAAACTGCCATGATGGTGAGTCACATGCTAACCTTGGGATGTGTTCATTTCTTTGCCGATCATCATGAGCTGCTTTCACACTGGCTTCCCAGTACCGTGGTACATCAATAAAACCTTTCCCCTTTAGACAGAACTGAACAGAGAGGCCATGTGCGCCAGTTCAGACATTACTATTCCATGCATTGAGACAATTAGTCACATCATGACATCACTGTGACAGCAACAATTGCTTTCAACCCGGGCAAGTAAGTCTCGAATGTTCAAGTATACATTCATCTTACACATGAGCAAGGTTTTGCCTCAACGTAACATTTTGACTTCAAATGCTCATTGCACATCGTGACTTAGAGGACAGAGAGCTGGGAAAATTTGTAAAATGTAGGCTTAATCGGCCATCGTGGAAGGGTCTATTAGTCTTATGAGTGCAAAGCCAGTTGAGATGGTCTAGCAAACTTAATGATCCCATATTAAGAACAAACAGAACTTAACATCCGCATACAGAGCGGGTTTATAAAACATACATAAATACATGTCTACCCCTCCAAAAAACAAAACAACATTTAAAACCTTGAGTGTTAACATATCAGTTTCTTCAAGGTTCTTTTGACCAAATAGAGATGCCGTTAAATCTATTGTGATGGTCACTGTATTGTTGCCAAGTTACCCAAACAGCTGACCCCCCCCCACACACACACACCTCGCATGTGCTCATTTCACAATAATCTTTGCTGTCAAGTAATATATCACGGAGGCCTACATCCCCCCAACCAAATTGCCATCCTGCAAATTCATTTGTGCTCAGACAGCAACTGGCCACAGCTTTATGAGCATGCCATCTGGTCCGAGCTTGAGACAGGCCAAAACACTCAATTACCACCCATTCACGAATAATGAAGCCCCAAGAGAGACACAAGAAGATCACATCAAGTCTGATCAAATCTGCTATAATATGCAATTGTGATGGAATTTTGTACACACAAGAAGTTGCCTCCTTTCAAATTTTATGTACCACAAATCCTGTTTAGGGTTCTGTGTCTATCACTCTAATAGAAAGCAATTGAAGCCAGCCAGTATTCTGTGGATTGGTCTTTCATATAAAGTCACTAGTAAAACTCGTGTTACAAGTCTGTGATTAAAATCAGAGAAGAGGAACACTTCTGTTCTACACAGTCATCTTTGTGTTATAGTACACCACCAAAGTAAAGAGAGTCCATTTCCAAAATCACGCTTAGTGAGTTGCTCTCGACCAGCGGTTCGCAACTGTTTTGTCACTTCGGGGCCCTCAGTTTCCTACTGTTACAAAGTCTTGATCCCCTTCATTAGAAGTGAGGAACAACATTTTTGGGGGTTAAATATATCCTCTGAAAACACGTTTAGAGTATATAATATTTTATGATATGTGTTGTACCCAGTGGCGGACCCTGAGGGCCAGCAAGGCCTTCTCTGCTGGCCTAAACATTCTCAGAAAAGTTTCTGTGAATAACATAAATTTGTTATTTTATTTTCACAAATATGTTAACAAAATTATTCTCTGTATTCTTTACGTCATATTATTTCCACTTAGTTGAGTGGCTTTCAATGTTATTTTAAATAACATTGAAAGCCACTCGAAAAATAACTTATTTATTATGGTAGAGTTTTTAACCAATCATGTTTCAGCTAGCTTGTGTTGCCAGGTAAATTAAACTTGCTCGGGGCCTTCAGATTGAACAGAGCAGGCCCCTGTGCGCTGTAAATGAACAGGTACCGTCAGGTTTCAATAGCCAATCAGATCACGAGTCTCAGACTCATGATCTGTATCCTGTATCCTGACTTGTTCTCGTCTCCTACTAGGGCTAGCTAGGAGGCCTTACGTCGAGACCTGCCGTGCGCGTTCAGTGATTGAATTAGCGCCTTTTCTGTTTCCTGAGAATTGTATCCTGACTTGTTCAATAAAGATTTAAAAAAAAAAAAACGATTTTTGGATTCGCGTCTGCTAGAGTTGTCACTCGCATTTTAACTCAAAATGGCCGAAGGAGAAGACGTTGATCTGGTTGCAGAACTACTTTCCACACAATTTTCAAGACGGGCCTTCCATGAAAAGCTGGATATTGTGCAAAGAGGTCGCCCAATTCCTGCGCTAGTTAGCCTGTCCCAGCAAGGAAAAGGGTTTGTCTGTCATTTTCAGACGAGCAATTATGAACGGTCCCCGTGGCTCACAGCCTCTGACAAATGCTGCAAATTGTACTGCTGGAAAATGCCTATTGCTTGCAACTGACCGGTGCATTTAAAAACGTT